ACTTGTGAAGGGAAAATAACTGTTGATGAATGTATAGATGCATTTTTTTTAAAATGAAACTTAATAAAGCGTCTGGGCTTGATGGATTAAATGTGAATTTTACAGAATATTTGAGGAAGACCTTAAAACTTGTATAGTCGTTTCTTTTAATTATTGTTATGAAAAAGGAAAGCTATCTAACACTCAGAAAGTCGGTTTGATATCCTTAATTAAAAAAAATATGACCCTTTATTACTAGATATGTATAGTCCTATTACTCTTTTAAATTATGATGCCAAATTTCTTGCTTATGCCTTAGCACAAAGATTAAAACCACTGCTACCAAAAATCATACATACTGACCAAAAAGGATATGTCAAAAATAGTTATATTGGTTTAAATATTCGACCAATTCAAGATGTTATAGATTATTCTGAAACTTCTAAAACAGATGGGGCAATTGTATTCCTTGACTTAACATAAGCATTTGGCTCATTAGAATGGGACTTCATGTTTGAGACTTTAAGGATGTTCGCTCCTCTTGTTTTTGAATTTTTGCCAGATATTCGGAATCCTCCGATTTATCCATGTAGTGCTATTACAAATTTTTGCCCACTAACCCCTACTTTTCTTTTCATAATTTGATTAAATATAGTTTGAAATGCCAACTTTGAAAATCTTATTAAATCCTAGTTTTTTTTTCATACTTTTAGACAGAAAAAAGGTGCCAATGTTAAATGTATGAAAAATCTAGAGAGAATCATTTCCCGCCAAATTTTCAATGGGTTATATCTCGAAAACAAGCACACGGACCCTTCATTTTTTCTGCTTTTTTAGTTCCTTTATTTATATACTATCAATCTATATCAGTCTTTTAAAAAGCTTGTTATTTGAAAACAGAGTAGCAAACATCCTTAAAGAAATTTGGCTTTAAAAATAATTTCATAAGGTGGGTTCAGACAATGTACTCTGATTTTAAAGGATGCATTACTAATAATGGGTGGGTTTCTACCCGTTTCAGGGCATTTCGTTGAATCCGACAAGGATGTCCGTTATCATCTTTCCTTTTTTTGTTTTAGCTGTAGAAGTAATGGCAATTAAGATAAGGGAAAATAAAAACTTAAATGGACTAGAAATAACACCAGATGGTAATAGCAATACTTTTAAAATTTGTACTCTATTTCTTCAATCAAAAAAAGATGTTACTCTTGCAATTAATTTAATAAAAATTGTTGGTACTTTCTAAGGTTTAAAAAATTGAATAAAACAAAATCTGAAGGGGTATGGCTAGGCCAATTGAAACACTGTCGTGATAAATGCGAAGATATAAATTGGTGTACTGCACCTATCTAAAGTCTTGGAATTTACTTTGGTTACTATAAACAAGAATAAAACAAATTAGACTTTGAAAAACAACTTTTAAAATTTAAAAAAATAATATCTGATTGGAGTAAAAGAAATCTTACTATTATAGGAAAGATTGTTATCATCCAATCACTTGTTTTGCCAAACCTAACATATATTGCATCAAACACTATAATTCCTAAAGAAATGTTGAAAGATTTTAAAACTTTAATTGATGATTTTATTTTGAAAGTTAAAATAGACAAAATTAAAAGATCCGCACTTTCAAATGATTTTTTGGAAGGTGGACTAAAGATGACAGACATTGATGCTTACATACAATCACTGCATATCAGCTAGATTCTCAAATTAAGTGAAGATGAAAATGATAGTTGGACAATCATTCCAAAATTCTATTTCAACACATTAGGAAAAATCTTCTTGTATTTAAAATGAATTTAAAGAATATTAATGACATCGATAAAAATTAGTTACAAAATTTACCAGACTTTTACAAGCAACTAATTAAAGGTTGGATAACTGTGTGAAAGGAGGTAATAAAAAATATTCCAAAAGTGTTTTTGAAATTAGAAAACAAGTTTTGTAGGGAAGCGATGATATCAGTTTAAACAGAAAATGTTTAAACTTTTGGGATTGGATGAAACGCGATAGTATTAAAATAAATGATGTCATTGATGAACAGGGTAAAAGCTCTGAAACTATCATCTTATCTAAACTTAAATATAAACAAAATTGGATGAAGCAAATATGTATGTTGAAACAGCAATAACAATGAATTGGAAATCAAAACTTCGTTCTGAAGAACCTATTAAAACTAAGGTTAAAGTTTTTAATGACTTAAGAATGATGTACATGACAATAACTCCCTTAATGAGCACACGTTAACTTTATACAATATTCAAACTAAAAGAAAGTCATGAAAAACTAAACGATTTCCTTATGTCGGATAAATTATTTGACAAAAATGTAACTTCCAAGTTTAAAAATAATTTTGTTTTTATTTTTCAATATCTCACTGACATTATATTGAAAATATTCAGATGGAAACTTATTCACTACATTCTGCCATGTAATGAACTTTAAAAAGTGGAAATTTACTGAGGACAATTTATGTAAGCATTGAAAAAAGAAAAAAAATGACTATGAACACTTTTTTGTAAATCATATGATCATATCGATAACGGAGAGGATTCCGGAAAAGTTATGTATAACAAAAGGAAAGAAAAAACAATTATCTGTAAGTGTATTCACAATATTTATTATATATATTTGTGAAATTAATTATATTATAGATACTAATATTATAAATAAATTATATCTTACTAAATAGAGCTTCCCTAAACTATAAGGTAAACTATTCCCCATTTCCATTCTCAATTTTATTAACATGAGGGATACTAAGTTATAAGCTGTAAACTTAGAAAATTGTTACAGCAAATATGCAATAAAGATATTGTTACGTTATAAAAAGAGAAAGAAAAACGGAAGAGACGTTCTCAAACATAACCCAGGTTTATTAGTTTTCTGTGCAAACACTAGTTACTGCTAACACAGTCTTGGTAGCAGCTGTAAGCTCTTGAATACGGAATAATTTGGGACATGTATATCCATCTGAAGTTGGTATATTGCTACTAAAGTGGGGGAAAATTACAATTTCAAAGTTGTAATCGTTTCGTGAACAATATATTTTGGTACTGAGATGACCGCTGATGTCAAATTCGAGGAATAAGTCTAAAAATGAGACAGAGGAAGCTGTGTCTGTTGTTTCTTTAATTTCTAGTTCTGGAGGAAATGAAAATGGAAACCAGTCAGAACAGTTTTGATTGTTACATGTAATGGAAAGAACATCATCAATAAACCAGTATCTGAATGTGAATTTAAATGCTATGACTTCTTTTATCTTCTTGTTCTTAGCAATGTCTGAAGTAACTGCGACTCATTTGAACAACAAAAGAGGTCTGTAAGGAGAGGCGAAAAGGTGGTTTTGTATTTGTAATTGTGTGATTATGTGTGTGTGTGTGTGTGTGTGAATGTATGTGTAATTGTGTAATAGTAGATATGAGGTCAACTAATTGACATTTGTTTGTAATTTGTAAAAACCCTTAATTCCCTAGTCGGCGGTGATGAAATAAGATTGTGAAATCATGACTACTGATAAAAAATCAACATTTGGTTGTTCATAAGAAATAGTTGGCAGCATAACAAAATAAGTTTACTGAGATTTTTTTTTTTAATGACCGTCCACTTCTTAAAATGAAATATTTAAAATAGTGTACGTATCATTTGAAAAAAAGATATTTTCCCTATTTAAATAAATCACAGAACGTATAACATTTAAAAATATATAAACGTATACATGATATAAATTTATTATTTTACACTTCCTTATTTCATCTTTGTAGTAAACTAATAATATATTAAACCCTATACAGATGACGTGACACTGGCCTTCGTGTAAGCGCAGAGATAGTTATTCAGTCAGAGGATTGTATTTCTGAATGTTTTATAAAATAACTATTATCAGTCTAACTTTTTATATTTAAGCACGTTATTGAAAGCTGTTGTACGATCGAAAAACATATCATGTTTTTTTTCAACCGGATCTCGTCTCGGGTTCACATAAATTGAGTCAGTTAACTTCATATATTTCATAACCAGTCACTTTTCTTTGTCGAATTCTATTCAGACATCATATATTTGTCGCCAACATAATATGATCTGTAAACTTTGATAACTGTTAAGTAAACATGATGTGATCATGAATAATAGTTATAAACATTTTAAACTTTATAAATTATTCTGCGTTCTAGAATTTACGAGAACTTGTCATCTCAATTTGATCCTATGAAGTCAAAAGGTTTGAATATGACACTGTATAATTTAAATAATGTGAGTTTAGAATTAATGAAGTATTATCGTCTGAGAAGCTGAAGTGGAAAAAATCAACTTTGTCATACAATGTGCAGGTGTTGTTATAATATTATGATCATTGAAACTGTGACATAATCTATTTCTACAAACATATACGCATGATTTTAACTTAGAAGGAAATGTTCATGTTTAATTCTTCTATCAGAAAGAAAAAAAAATCTTGCATTGACCTAGAGCCTGTTCATCGTATTTCATTGTGAAATCCTTGATATATCAACGCAAACATGTTTGTTGCAACTATTCTCCACTTTCAAAAAGATACTTCCAAACAGTACAATGCACTAATAACAAGGATATATATCTTGTTGGTATTTGTATCACTTTTCATTATTTTTAAAATTGACATTTCTCGTTTTTTTATGTCAAAACATGAATTGTATGACAATTTGCAATTTCTTTTAATATACATATAATTTAGCCGACGTTAAACTTGTTGAGGGGTCCATATGTGGCATGTTGTTAAATTTCTGTTCCTATCCATATACCCCATTTTATTTTGATTGTTTGGAATGGATGCAACTCTGAATTAGCTTTTAAACACCTTGCTAGAATGAATAGTTACGTCAATAAGGTCTTTTTAAAGACTTTATTGACGTAACTATTCATTAAAATACGCTGTGTGTGTATAGAATATCCCAGTGACAATTGATATGCCGGTAAAAATACACTCAAGAGAAAGATTCGCTTAAGTAAACACATTGTTTCGTTTATATTAAAACCCGAAGATTCAAGTTTCCATATTAAGTCAAATAAAGGATGGTACAATCCTAGCCCTGACGGAAATGGATGTAAAAGTTTTGTTTTGTTTGTGTTTTTTACTGCATTGCAAACAAATGGCATCGTGTAAGTATTCTTGTGTACTGTATTATTTTCCAAAGCTGAATACAAATTGAGGGAAACATAATTGTGAGATCCACGTCATCTTCGCTCTGGTGGATAGTTGTCTCAATACCAATCAAACCACCTATTTTCATTGTATACATGTATTAAAGGAAATATTAAATAGAATATAATAACATGTACTTTGTTTTATATACAGTTTGGCTAATGAGGGGTGGAGAGTGTTGCAACTAGAGGTCATACTTTGAATTTTTACATAAAATGATGGAATTAATAAAAAAAGTCAAAACTATATGTAAATTTGACGACGATGATAATGACATCAGATACTGAATCACCGCGCGGGAACACAAGCAAACATTTTTTATTTTTGTAACACTATGCAGTGATCGAAAGTATTGAAATTATTAAATATAATTTCTAAAGTTTATAAATGTATGTATTATTGTTAAACTACACACTTGACTTTCTATTTGTAAATGTTTTGGCTTAAGGGATGTTCAAGTTTATGACAATTGCTTTTTCATTCAGCAACATGTGGTCATCGTATTTAATTAGACTTTAATAGTTTGGCTTTAATTGACCTAACGTTAAGTATATGAGACCAAAAGTAATGGTCACTATTTAGAACCATTTTATTTGTGGCTTTGGGCTTTTTAAAAGTAAGTACCTATCATAAACAAAATTCTTTCTAAATTAAAGTCACGTTCGTAGTTGTATAAAAGAACTGTCCCTAACAAGACAGTTCAGATTGTAACTAGGCACCGAATAAGAATTAGTTCCTCTTTAGCCATTGGTTTTATAGTGCCACATTTTTAATATTAAGTAAAAGGGCTTGCAATTTGAAATCATGTTACAAAATTGTGTGATTAGTTTGTATCAGTTTGTTTTGATCTGATTTGTAACATTTGTAATGCGTTTTTTTTTTTGTTTTATTTGTCTTTAAGCTTTTAACAAGAATACATTTTTTGAACAACTCAACAATCACTTTCTTTCGTTTTCGTAACTTTTCTTACTCATTTCGTTTGCGTGTTTCGTTCATTCTAAAACGTGTGATACTTCATTTCATGTATAAACGTTTACATCATGTTTGAACGATGGTGCTATTCTGAATCGAAAATCAATCTATTTTTTTTCTATGTTTTATAGACAGATTTCATACTTTGATTATAACTAAATTACGCGTATCTGTCTACATCTACAACACTGAAGACCCTCACATCGACCAAACTGCTTTAATCATTTAACATGCATGAACTATAAGATCACAACTGTGAACAGTTAGTTGTATGTACATAGAAGTTGTATCATGCATATTATATCGTCTTGTTTAATTACATCATGTGGGACTGTCTTAATATCTAGATGAAAATATTTTGAACCAGTTCAAAAATTGAAAACAACTCGTATAATAATTTCATGCGTCCGAAGCGCTTTTTTTTTATTCACCTTCATCGGGAACGCTCAAAGCTAAACATTTAAAATCCGAGGATGTTTAAGTTCCGAAATAGTTGAATAGCTATATGACAAAAATACCTAAAAAATAGCCAAATGCATCTAAGGTCAACTTTGCCTGAGGGAGTTGAAATGTAAGTTTCTTCATAATTTAAAAATGTATAAACGGACAATTTTAGAAAGGTTTGTTATAAATCATGTCAGTACCGAAGTACTGACTACTAAGCTGATGATACCCTCGAGGACAGATAGTCAACCAGCATAAGTATCGACCCAGTGCTGTAAAAAATTCAAAAACAACACGTTTAATAATTTCATGCGTCCGAAGAGCTTTTCTGGAAGTGTGAAGGGTATCTAAATAAAATACAGTGCAACTTGCAAAAACCGAATCTTGATTAAACCGAATTTCTGGTAAATGTAGTATAAAAGAACACATTAATTAGTTGTTCAATGATAACAGAAAGCGGACACCCCATGCAGTGTTGGAAACGTTGCATTACATTCGTGAAATGCGGTCATTAGACCGATTGTAGTGTTTTTATTTAAACGCAAGGATTGGTGTCGAAAGTATGTGTAAAAAGATAACTACTTCTGCAAGTTAAACTCGGGATTAGCTATGAGTTTTCGATATACAATTGTTGCTGCATAAATCAGTAATAATGTTCCCATTAACATGATTACAATGTAAAGCTGTGGGCGTTTTTTTATCACACATTTGTTTATATTCACTATATAAATAATATTAACGTATTTACGAGATCAACATTTCATAAAAAATAACAGATTGTTTTGCATTGCAATATGCAATGATATGTATTAATTGTTATGCAATAAAGTGTTTATGAGGGATTTTTAAATATATTTAAGGCAAAGCGCAGATGAAAACAAACAAGGTGTAACACCACTAATTCGGCCCGGCCAGAAAGCACATACCAGAAAGTAGTACATATTTAACACAAAATAGTTCCTACGCATGAGTGTAACTTTTAAAATATGTAGAATATTTAGGTATTGTTGGTATGAAATGAAAGCTGAATGACTGGTGATCATTGTAAAACACTTTTTGACTTATAAGTTTGAATATTAAAAAAACTGCACCAAATTTTATAAAAAGGGTACTTTTTGCCTGTATGTCAGATCTGAAGTACCTGTTTTGGTACATCCCAAGTTCCGGGTACCAGTTATTTCTTATATCCCATTAAAGGTATGTTGATTTTTCCAGTACAATACACCATAAAGTGTTGCTTTGACATGCAATGATTGTCACTTTATTTTAACTTCAAACAAAAGAGCTGTGTCTGCTTGAAATTGAGGAATTTAACATAGAAAGCAATGGGGCCATGAATTAGTGGTGTACTTCCTATTACAGAGAATCATCAGAAAATCAATTTTTAGAAGTTGTACCTATTCCAATGAAAATAAGTCATATCTGATGTAAGTAAACATGTTTAATCATCTTTTTTGGACGAACAATTCTGTTTATGGAAAATTTCAGCTCTTAAATTGACATAATCAGGTATTTTAGTCTTTTATGGTCACACAACATGCATGCAGTTAAGACATGACTCCAAATTCTTATTTTTGCATTATTTGGGATTGCAATCAATAAAACATGTATATAATGACTTGTTTATGGTAAAAAAATAGCTCTTGGTCAAATAATCCTATGATTTTTCAAGTTTTATTGGTTTTCTTATGATAGCCTTTTACAATCTAGGCAATTGGTATATACTCATATAAGAATTCCAAAATCTCACTGTACATGCAATTCTGAACCAGTTTAGCAAGTTATCCAGCTGAAAAATATATAAATTGCTCTTTATAATCTATGTTGTACCACAGAATAAAATTGAGAATGGAAATGGGGAATGTGTCAAAGAGACAACAACCCGACCACAGAACAGACAACAGCAGAAGGCCACCAACAGGTCTTCAATGCAGCGAGAAATTCCCGCACCCGGAGGCGTCCTTCAGCTGGCCCCTAAACAAATATATATACTAGTTCAGTGATAATGAACGCGATACTAAACTCCAAATTGTACACAAGAAACTAAAATTAAAAATAATACAAGACTAACAAAGGCTAGAGGCTCCTGACTTGGGACAGGCGCAAAAATGCGGCGGGGTTAAACATGTTTATGAGATCTCAACCCTCCCCCTATACCTCTAGCCAATGTAGAAAAGTAAACGCATAACAATACGCACATTAAAATTCAGTTCAAGAGAAGTCCGAGTCTGATGTCAGAAGATGTAACCAAAGAAAATAAACAAAATGACAATAATACATAAATAACAACAGACTACTAGCAGTTAACTGACATGCCAGCTCCAGACTTCAATTAAACTGATTGAAAGATTATGTCTTCATCATATGAATATCAGGCACAATCCTTCCCGTTAGGGGTTTAGTATCATACCATCATAACATATATGAGAAGAACATAACCCGTGTCATGCCAACAACTGGTTTTTAAATAAATGTGTTTAGTGCCGATGCAAAGACCCTATAAGTGAATCAATATTAACGCCAAAATATGCAATCTTTAATGACCTGACAACAGTATCGTAACTATATCCCTTCTTAATAAGTCTATTTAAAGGTTTTGTTAGCTTCAGAGGTGAATACTGACATTTTTGTGCTTTATAAAGAATATTTCCATAAAAAATTGGATGTGAAATACCTGAACGTGTAAGAAGTCTGCATGTTGAGCTATATTTACGAATGATGTCCTTATACCGATGATAAAATTTAGTAAATGTTTGGACTAGTTTGTGATATCGAAAACCCTGGTGTAATAATTTTTCAGTAATACATAAATTTCTCTCGTTAAAATCTAAAACATTGTTACATACACGAGCGAATCGTACAAGTTGAGATATATAAACACCGTAAGATGGTGACAAGGGAACGTCACCATCTAAAAATGGATAATTAACAATAGGAAATGAAAAATCATCTCTTTTATCATACATTTTAGTATTAAGCTTTCCGTAATGATATAGATATCAAGATCGAGGAAAGGGCAGTGGTCATTGTTAGTATTAGCTTTATTTAAAGTAAGTTCAACAGGATAAATTTCTTTAGTATTCATACTGATGTCGTCATTATTGAGAGCCAAAATATCATCCAAATATCTAAAAGTATTATTAAATTTGTGTATTAGATGTTGTTTCGATGGGTCTTTGCTGATTTTTGTCATAAATTGTAACTCATAGCAATACAAAAAAGGTCCGCAATAAGTGGTGCACAGTTAGTCCCCATTGGAATTCCGATAACCTGACGATATACGGAATCTCGAAAGCGAACAAAAATGTTATCTAGTAAAAATTCAAGGGCATATATAGTATCAAAGCATGTCCAATTGACATAGTTTTTTTTGTTTATTGCTACTAAAAAATGACCTAAAAGAGTTGGAACATATATATTCACATTCTGATTTTTTAAATGCCCATTTAATTAGGTGTGTGATTTTTTTCTTAATGAAAATGTGAGGCAATATGGTATATAGGGTAGAAAAATCTAAACTTTGCACAGATTCAAAATCACCAATATATGCATGTAATTTATCAAGTACTTCCAACGAGTTCTTGACACTCCAAAAGTAATTAATTCCACTATTTTCGAAGACCTTATTTGAACAATTTATTATCAGGTTTTTGATTGTACCAAGTGTACTGGTAAGAAGAATAGACAATTTAGTAGTGGAACAATGGCTTGAAGTCGAAATGAATCTATATTTGTAAGGTGTTTTGTGTAGCTTCGGAAGCCAATACATAGTTGGGACTTTCATTGTATTTGGTTCTGCTTGTAAAGCGGTAGCTAAAAGTTTATGTTTGTTACAGATGTCGTTTTCTGAAAATGGAGTCAGTTGGAATGTAGGTGAATTGGTGATTTCTTTTTTCAGAACCTCAATGTAAAAATTACGTCAAACAATAATAATATTATTAGCAGCTTTATCGGCCGGGACAAAAACAAATTCCTTGGCTAGTTCTTTTAGTTTATGTTTGATACGAGAAATAGGTTTATTGTGGTTATTGTTAAGAGTAAAATGTTCTTTAAAATGTTGAATACGTATATCAACTATGTTCATTACTGAATTAAAAAAAGAGTCCAAAGATTTTTTTCAGCTTTTTCCCGTTTTATCCATTTCAAACAGTAAGTATGGAGTGAGTCGTGGATGATATTACGACACTCATTCCAATTATTAATTGACGGGGGACGATATTTTGGTCCTTTACTGAGGAATGATTTTAACTCTCGGTCTTGAACGATGTTAAGATCTCCTGTTATAACATGGGCATTGTATGTTTGAATAAAGACAGTGTAAAATTTGGCATTATGAATTCTGATAACTTACTTTTCAATAATTCTATTTCATTTAAATAATGTAAAGATCACACAATTATAAAGGCTGTTAGTATATTTACATGCTTTACTTATATTTGTGAAAAAGACACTAGAAATTTCAGAATATTAATATTTGTTTGAGACAAAAATCATTTGTGAACAGATCGGAGGGAATTATAATGAATTGGTTTATACTGTATATGCATGTTAAAGACTTGTAATTCCTCAATAGTTGATATTCGCATAATTACGATGTCAACATATGATTGTCCACATCAATCAACGCTGGTCATAGTTGTACCTTATAATGATAATTGTATGCCAATGTCATCAATCAGAAATTGTGTAACTCAATATCATATGACTATTTTCGTATACTGTTGCATCGTCAATTATCAATCCTTTTAAACTCACCTGGCCGTAAGGCCATGCGAAATTTTCTCATCACTTGGTGTCTGTCGTCCTCCGATGTCGTCGTCGTTCATAGTCGTCCGTCGCCGTTAACTTTTAAAAATCTATGTAGGTTTCTTGTTAAAAAATGTGTCCAATGACCGCACTTGCCAAACAAGATGGCTATCATGGCTTAAAATAGAAAATAGGGGAACACTGCAAGTTTTGTCTTTTAACTTTACAAAAGCTATGAATAAAGAAAATCTGATTTGGACAAAAACGTTCGTAAGGTTGAGATCTACATTTACGTCAAAATTGTCAGATGACTTTTTATAGTAAGTATTGCCCTTAATTGTCAAAGCATACCCTTTTTTCATTTTTGCATATTATTATGAAAACTTCAAAAGATAGTGTTAAGCAAAATAATGATCAACAAATTAAGATCTACAAATAGGTTAACAGATAACTCCTTGTTGGAGTTTTTGCCCTTTAACGATGATTTTCAACAAATCTTTACGTGTTTGCCTATTATCTTGCAAAAATCTTCTCCTAAGAAACTACAGGGCTAAATTTTACCAAGCTTGGTTAAGATCAATTTTGGGATATACTGTTTTAAAATATATCCGATGACCCCGTTTGCAAACCAATATGACCAACGAGGCTAAAAATAGAAGATATGTTGAGAATATTGAGATCTACTTGCTGTCTATTTACGTCAAAACTGTCAGATAAATTACTATAGGAATCATCGCTCCTAACTGTCAAATTTTATCCTTTTTTTTATTTTATAAAATGTAATAGTTACAAAGAAACTTTTCTTCGGAGAAATGATTAGCTATACAGGATCAACAAATAATTAGTTTTTCGTTAATTGTTTTGTTATGAATTAGGCCGTTAGTCTCAATTGAATTGTTTCATATTTTTCATGTTGAGCTTTTTATAGCGGTTGTTCTTATTGTTGAATGGCGTAGGGTTGCCATTAATTCCTAACATCCACTTTTTTTTAACTATGGTGGATAGTTGTCTCATTTGGAATCACACCTTATCTCCTTTTTTTTTAACAAGGCTGAAATCGACAGATGACTCCTTATTTGAGTTATCACCCTTCAATGACGAGCATTACCATTGTGTGCGTTTCTGTTAATATCATAAGAAAAACTATGCTAGATTCTGTATGTATGTGCCTGTCCCAAGTCAGGAGCCTGTATTTCAGTGATTGTCGTTTGTTGCTTTGTTACATATTTTTGTTTCGTTCATTGTTTTGTACATAAATTAGGCCGTTACGTTTCTCGTTTTAATAGTTTTACATTAATTTTGTAATTTCCGGGCCGTTTATAGCTGACTAATCGGTATGGGATTCGCTCACTGTTGAAGGCCGTGTGGTGACCTTTAGTTTATATTTCTGTATCATTTTGTCTCTTGTTAAAAGTTGTCTCATTGGCAATCATACCACATCTTCTTTTTTATAGATAGATAGAAACTTTAAAAAGAAAAAAAATTGTCAGCAGGACAAGATTTAAAAATAGGTCAACATTATCGAAATGGTCAGTCGACTCCTAATTTAATTATGCCCTTTCATGATATATTGTACAAAAAAGGAGCCATTGCTGACGATGCAGGAGAGTGCCAAAACCTCTAATTGTATGTATTAATGAAATGTAAGCGGTACATATTACATTACACTTGGAATGTGTGCGTGAAGTTAACTAATACATTTATAAATTATTCACATAGATATAAGAAGATGTGGTATGAGTGACAATGAGACAACTCTCCATCCAAGTCACAATTTATAAAAGGTAACCATTACAGGTCAAAGTACGGTCTTCAACACCGAACCTTGGCTCACACAAAACAGCAAGCTATAAAGGGCCCCAACATTTTTTAGTGTCAAACCATTCAAACGGGAAAACCAACGGTCTAATCTATATAAAAACGTGAAACGAGAAACACTTATGAACCACATCAACAACCGACAACTACTGAACATCAGATTCCTGGCGTAGGACAGGTGCCTTTCAATTGCAGCGGGTTTAAACGTTTTAATTGTACCAAACTTTCACCCTTATCCGAAACATGTATAAATATGTGTTCGTCGTTTTGTTTGAATGCTTAGTAATTTTAACCATTAAATAGAATAATGCAAACTCGAGAAACGTGAAATTGTATGCTTTTTTGTCATGGCTTTATCCTATTTAGTGTATTAAAGTATACATTTTTTTGAAATAATCATAATACTCATCTTGACATTTTTTCAGTTTTCTCAGGAAAAGTTTTGTATTCAACATGCACTTCGATTAAAGAGTTTGATATTGAAACACGCAATGTGACTATATTGGTAGAACAAGGACGTTATTGTGTGTATGCCATGGACTATGATTACAAAAACAGATTCATTTATTTTCCAATATATGGTACCCGTGACATTGTTCGGTATGTACACGTTTATTATGATGATGTCAATAGTGAGGAAAACATAGAGTGAATATGTTTAAATCACGTATAACATGTATACAGAAAAACAAAATGTCTCTCAAATAACTTATAAGAAGACCTCTTTTCATTTACCACAACGTTAAGCGAACAATGTTACCACAATGTACGAGACAGGGTTCGAACTTGTTTTCAATATTAAACCTGTTATAAACTACTTACAATTCCAAATAAGCAGCAAGGACACGTATTTAATTCAATTAATCATACAGACTTATGTGTCTTGCGTCATGAAGAAATTGTTTCGAAAATATCTCAAATCATTGTTGATAGAATTATCAGTATCAAATATTTCTGACATGAGAACATTTCATTGACAAATTGTTTTACTTCCAGTAGCTTCATTCTACATATCTTGATTGGACCTATACAGTGCCTGTACCATCTTTTATTGATCTTGTGCAACTGTGTTCCCCTTCTCATTTACTTAACCTGTCATCAAATAAGGTAGTAAATTAACCTCATATAGACATTCTTTATTAGACAAACCATGTTAAAACTTATCTCTTAAAGGAAAACAATTCACGTACACATGTACAAAAATACACATGTCAAAGCGACATAGTCATGCGTTATTCAAAGCAGCACTAATTAACGTTTAGAACATCCAACATTCAAATTGCACATTGAAAATGTATTTTTGAAGCTAGTTCCGTCGTGACGTGGACAAAAATCGAATACTTTTGTATTTAAATAAACGCATCCGAGCTCACCATGAGCACACATGTTAGGCCCGGTGTTTCTGCCGTGTTTGGGGAAAAATCCCTTAGTCCGGCTTCATCAGTGGTCGACTCAATAAGTTGTATATTGGCGTGTTATTTATGCTTTTTTGTTTTATTTCGTATGTTATATTGGACCATACACCGGTTGTCTTTGGGTAAAATAGTAGTTGATTTTTTATATTTTTTTTGTGAGCTCAGTACCATATTGTGTTGTGAAAAGTCAAGCGGACTATACCTGCTAATGCTTTGGTAATAGTTCTTGTAAGTTTTGATGTCTTTTATAAGCTATAATGGGCTGATGATTAAATATGTTCACACAATCAAGGTTTAGTGAAATAAGGTTCCAGTGTTTTATTATTATATTTTTTAGTTTCTGTATTCATGGGTTGAATATTGTTAATATTCGTAGGTGAACTTCAAGTGCGGGTGCACAGTATTAGCTATTGTAAATAGTTTGTGTATTTCCTCTATAGGTCCGGAATATATAATCCAGCCGTCATCCCTAAATCTGGAAGTCATTATCATTTTGTTTCTGTGTTGAAAGCGTTGCAAAATGTTTTCAAGAATAACAAACATTTTGACAGTTCGATATTGAAACAAGCAATGTGACTATATTGGTAGAAAAAGGAAGTTATTGTGTGTATGCCATGGACTATGATTACAAAAACTGATTCATTTATTTCCCAATATATGGTACCCGTGACATTGTTCGGTATGTACACGTTTATTTTGATGATGTCAATAGTGTGGAAAACATAGAGTGAATATTTTTAAATCACGTATAACATGTATACAGAAAAACACAATGTCTCTCAAATAACTTATAAGAAGACCTCTTTTCATTTAGCACAACGTTAAGCGAACAATGTTACCACAATGTACGAGACAGGGTTCGAACTTGTTTTCAATATTAAACCTGTTATAAACTACTTACAATTCCAAATAAGCAGCAAGGACACGTATTTAATTCAATTAATCATACAGACTTATGTGTCTTGCGTCATGAAGAAATTGTTTCGAAAATATCTAAAATCATTGTTGATAGAATTATCAATATCAAATATTTTTGACATGAGAACATTGCATTGACAAATTGTTTTGCTTCCAGTAGCTTCATTCTACATATCTTGATTGGACCTATACAGTGCCTGTACCATCTTTTATTGATCTTGTGCAACTGTGTTCCCCTTCTCATTTACTTAACCTGTCATCAAATAAGGTAGTACATTAACCTCATATAGACATTCTTTATTAGACAAACCATGTTAAAGCTTATCTCTTAAAGGAAAACAATTCACGTACACATGTACAAACATACACATGTCAAAGCGACATAGTCATGCGTTATTCAAAGCAGCACTAATTACCGTTTAGAACATCCAACATTCAAATTTCACATTGAAAATGTATTTTTGAAGCTAGTTCCGCCGTGACGTGGACAAAAATCGAATACTTTTGTATTTAAATAAACGCATCCGAGCTCATTATGAGCATACATGTTAGGCCCGGTGTTTCTGCCGTGTTTGGGGAAAAATCCCGTAGTCCAGCTTCATCAGTGGTCGACTCAATAAGTTGTATATTGGCGTGTTTTTTATGTTTTTTTTTTGTTTTATTTCGTATGTTATATTGGACCATACACCGGTTGTCTTTGGGTAAAATAGTAGTTAATTTTTTATTTTTTTTTGTGAGCTCAGTACCATATTGTGTTGTGAAAAGTCAAGCGGACTATACCTGCTAATGCTTTAGTAATTGTTCTTGTAAGTTTTGATGTCTTTTATAAGCTATAATGGGCTGATGATTAAATATGTTCACACAATCAAGGTTTAGTGAAATAAGGTTCCAGTGTTTTATTATTATATTTTTTAGTTTCTGTATTCATGGGTTGAATATTGTTAATATTCGTAGGTGAACCTCAAGTGCGGGTGCACAGTATTAGCTATTGTAAATAGTTCGTGTATTTCCTCTATAGGTCCGGAATATATAATCCAACCGTCATCCCTAAATCTGGAAGTCATTATCATTTTGTTTCTGTGTTGAAAGCGTTGCAAAATGTTTTCAAGAATAACAAACATTGTAAGGTCTGCTAATTCAGCGGATGCTGATCCGCCCATAGGCACGCCCAAGGTTTCACGGTGAAGTTTATTGTTAAAGATACATTCATTGTTCTCTAGAATAAGCCTTAATAGGCGAAGTATACTGTCCTTTGGTGGAACTTTGAGTTCATACTCGCTTGGATTAATATTGGTCAGTGCCCCGTTAGTGGCTTCTAGTATTTCATTAAATGTAAAACAAGTGTACATATTTTTTGCATCGAATGTTACTAGGTAGCAGTCTCGTTGGGGTTTTATATTTTATATCGAATTAATAAAACTTGACGTATCTTTTATATTTGTATTTTGTTTATTGACAAGTGGAACAAGAAAATAATCGATATAGTGTCCAATATTGTGTAGGGGCGTTCCACACAGTGATACAATTGGTCTACCCGGAATTAAATTTTCTCGTCTAGCTGTTTCATTTCTCTCCATTTCTGATAGTATATTTTCAGATAGTTTATGTATTTTAGGCAACAGATAGAATTTTCCTACTTTAGTTGTATTGATGTTTTCTTTCAAATATCTGAATGTTATATTGTCAATATAATTATCATTATGTAGGTCTTTGATAATACTGAACGCCGTTTCAGCTACCTCCTTTGCTTTGGATTCAACAATTTCTTCGTAATATATATTATGTAATTGTCTTAACCCTTCACGTAAATAGTTGTCTTTGTCCCGAATACATAGTGTTGAGTTTGTGTCTGCCTAACGTATTATACATGTAATGTTGTTATTTTTCTTTATATTCCGAATAGCCAACAATTCCTCGGCAGATATATTTCTGGTGTGTTTGTTTATTTTCATTCTACTAAGTTCGATTTTTGTTGAGAACATGTAATTTTCAATTGCTGGACAAGAATCCAACAGTTCATACCCCGAATTTATGTAAAAAGGGTGTCTCTTTTAAATTCTACCGTCATTAAAGAGATATCGACATCAAAGTTTTCTTGAGAATTCGTCAAAGTCCTTCATAACGTTTCGTATGGCATTTTTGTTCGAAGGATTAATTATGAACTTTACACCTTTTGCAAGTAATAAGGTTTCGTGATCTGTCAAATTATGTCCCGATAAATTTTTCACAAATAATTTGGCATTTTTTACCAACTTGGTGTGTAATTTAGTCCTTTTATTGTTGTTGTTTTCTACAAGTTTATGTCGTACTTTTTTGTTTTTAATAGTTCGCTTAAAGTGTCTGGCCATGTTGATTGTAAAGTAGTGAATTGATTCGGTGCACGTGCTATGTTAATCTCATTTCTCGTATTACACAGCGATCACCTGCAGATACTGTTAGGGTCAGATTTGTGATAAAAATACAATGACTTGTCGAAGGTTAATTAGGTGAATAGTTATGAATGGAATATCTGGCCTCCTAAGACCTTCACATAGCGTAAATAATTGTAGTCTGTGATTTTGCGTAATATAATTTTTTTTACATTTTTCTGCACATCCATGCACAATGGATTATAATACAATTGGTACCGTTGATTTTATTACATTGTATAGTGTATAGATATTTGATTGTTGTAATCATTACTGAAATGTTGTTTGTTTACATGTCTTAACTGGTTTACTCTGCATCAAAGTTAATGTGTGTAAGATTGAGAGATATGTCGTTTTGAGTGAATTTATATTGTTATCGTTTCGTTTTAGGAGTAATAAATCGGGTTTTAATTTAAATATGTACAGTGGTAGTTGATAGGGCCAATATTTATATAATTTTCTTCATTAATTGACTAGCCAGTCTTAGTAAATTCGAAATAGAAATAAATACCAGCATTTATCATATGCAAGTTTAATGTTTTGATCTGGAGGTAGACTTACATTTGTATAGTGAAATAATAGTCCAAAAACTAAGTTAGAACAAATAGCACAATATACTTAAATGCAAAGTTTATTTTCTTCTATTTAGTTTGCCAGTAGATTCGTGCCTGTTGTAGTAAGGGTGGTTTCGATCCCTATTTAACTTGGTGGTGTTACCGGATGTTGAGTTTATTCTGTTAACACTTGTTTTGTATTCTTCCGTCCACTTGTTTTAAGTTTTAGTAATTCATCATTGAACTCGGTGATAGCCTTATTTCCACTTTCAGAACCCGAGTTTAATTCTTTGTACAGCTCAAGT